CCGCAGTAAAATTGCTACAGACATCGGTCTTGCAATTGATTTACCGAAATCCGTCATAGTGGAGTGTTATTAGCCCCACATGGGGTATTAAGATCTTTAAGTAAAGCGTAAGGGCTATTAATATCGTCCAGAAAATAACGCAGAGGTTTGAGGCAATCAGTAGAACCTATTTTTCGATATATTTTTTGTTAGCGAAGTTCCATTTCTCATATCATTTAATTCAAACACAGAATTCAATGGAACAATCTAGAAATCTGTGCGATAGACCCTCTGCGAAATATTGTCCACAAACGTTTCAGCTTTAAACACTAGACACATGTTAATAGCTCTCTTTTGGGCTATTGACATTTTAACGCAAATTTGTGGGGTAATTAACATCGCTCACGAGAAAACCATGGAATTTCGATATACCAGAACTTTTGGAAATTTTGCTTAAAGCTAAACTTCTTTCTCGATGCACATTCTTTAGCGGTGTATGCTGCCCGCTATGCCAACGGCAAAATCAAAATTACCGTGCGGTTTAACTGCTGGTCTGCTGCATGGGACACCGTCATTATTGCTTTATGATGCGGATAGCAGTTACCGGCAGTATTTTGAAATAAAGTGCAATATGGGTTATTGTGATGTCAAGCAACAAGTAACTTCTTTTTCGAAAAACACAAAATGAATTATGAACGTGTTTTACTGATCAACGAAGAGCAAGTTAAGTGATTTTTATTTACTGAATGTCCGCTCTAATATTCGTTTATTCATTGATGAATTTATTGAAAAAAATTCTTTTGTATTCGAAATTTTTATATTCAAATAGAGTCATAGCAAATACTTATATTTCTTCTTTGTTGATCATCACCAGAAGGACTTTTAATGGCAAAACATTCAATTAGCAGGTTATCTGTGAAAGAAGTACTCATAATCAGTCGCAATAATATGTTTTTTCTTTTATTTGAGCCATTTTTGCATTCGATCAAAATAAAACACCATTTTTCTCTGATCATTCATCGTCGTTATTTTAAAATATATATTTTTTTTATTAAAAACAAAAACAAAACATCACAAAAGGCGTTTTATTATTTAACCAAGCAACAGCCATTTAATCAATCTGCGTGCGTATTCAATTCCATTCTTTTTTCATCATCTACGCTTTACTTCATCTACCTCACTTCTCGTGGTACACAAAAAAACGCCAGAAAACAATTTTTAAAAAATGGTGCAAGTCTTTTCTTTTTCTTTTTCCGCTTTGATTTCTCCTCCTTCGATTTATCATTAATTGTCAAACAGGATGCATTGTTTACATGCATTAAAGCAATGATGCAGAGGAGAAAGTATAATACGGCAAAGTCAAACTTTCAGAGTTTGTGTCTTGAGTACGGCTAACTAGTGTGAAAAAGACAACTCATGAAAACACGGCGTTGGGCAAATACGTTTTTTTCTCAAAAAGCATGCCTTCTGTTAAGTAATTTACTTGCATTGGCCGATACAGCTAAATAAGTTGATGCTCCACCAGTTGCAGCTAGCTAAAAAAGTTATTTAGCTAGCCGGTTCTATCAAGCTTCCCAGCGAAAAGAAAGCGATACTACATCTTGTTTTCGAGCTTGAGATCAATTTTCGAAATCATTGTATTTGGAATGCTAATACTATGTAATGCATGAGTATTATTGATAGATTCTTGTTGTGATTTTAAACTAACGGTTGTTTCTATGTCCCTTTGAGTAAGAGATGGGTGTTTAAGAATTATTTGTTTCATAGCCTACGCTGTCTGATTGCTAGATGACTGAGTATTTTCTTGTAGACAATGTTCTAACATGTTTTTAGCTATTCATACTGCTTATAATTATAAATAATTTGGAAATATTACGAACGTTTCACCTTTTAGAACGTTTCAATACGGTAGATAATGAAAGCCATCCAAAATAATTGGACGCGTGGAACGTGGACGTGGACTGCATCCACGCATAGAGAGATTTGTTCATTTCTGTCGATGAGGGGATATAAATGTACATCTATCTCTTTTCTTTTTCTCGCTTAATTGCCGACAGACAAAGGCTGAGATGTACAGAATGGAACAAATTTTCGTTTTCAATTATCAGTTGCCCAATCTATCTCAATTACATGTTTTTGTCTAATATGTTAGTGTAATATATAAGAAAAAAATATAAAATTCTTAGGAATAGAATTTTCCCGTTTTAAACATACTTCACATTTTGTGCAATATTTTCATATGTTTTCCTCACATTTATTAACTTCACGGCTAAAATAATAAACAAGGTAACTAGTCATCACAGACTAGGAAGTACATTGAAGTAGTATTCATACTTTCATCATCGTCTTCATCTTGGTCAACATCGATGTCACTATTGAAATGTTCCATATTTCATACGTCCACACCATATTTCATAGTGAGTAAAGGCCATATCAAAGTAGAAAAGGTGCAAAAGTACGGAGAACTAGCAAGAAGTACAAAAAGTACCGAGAAGTACAGCAGTACGCTGTTTTCCCCTTGTGAATATCTATATCGCTTTCTCTCTGTTTATAAAGTTAAACAATTGTTTATGATATATTCAGGCATTGCTCAACAAAGGTGCTAAATTGGCCTTGTATTCTTCCAAAATATACGAAAAGCAAAGAAGTGTATACTATCATTGTCACCAATTTCGTTTGCGGCTTATTTATGAAATAAGATCAAAGCATTTACACCGTAACCCTAACGACACAGTAATTCATAAATTTGTAATGGATAAAATATTTCATCCAAAAGAAAAATTTTTGGACAAATATTTCGGTTCGACGTTTATCTATGCATATCTTTGTTTCAACACGTGAACTAAATTCGACGCAGAGCGAAAAGGCCACTGAGCCATATACTTTGCGATATAGAGTAAGAGAAGACGGCCATTTCGTAGTCCTTGAAAAGCAATAGCAACTGGATATATTTAAAACTCTTCATAAACGCAAGCAGTTCGAGAAGAGATTTTTTTCTATTGTTGATTTTATTAAAAATCATCGTTTTCAAACTGCAAGTTTGGGCACTCAAGAAAACTTATATAAATCGGTGAAAATCGAAGATTTTGAGGTCGGGCATTTTTTCGTTTAAAACAAAACCAACCAGCATAAAAAGTTCATTAGTTCGATTCCTTTTCCAATACAAAAGTGAAAATGTCGAAAATTTCCTTTTTCTTGTAAATTTTAGTGAAATCGCCTTTTCCACGGTAAACACACGTTCAAACCAAAGTCCGTATATTCGAAAAGAAAGGGGGTACTTGGGAACTCCAGAACCTACGTTTTGACCCACTTTTATGGATGGCGGCATGCTGAAAGTAAATATTTTTTCGTTGTGTTTTGTGTTTGAAAGTATGGAGATTGAAGCTGTGCAGTGTTTCGTCTACATTCTTTTATTTTTACGATATATAAAACTGTTCAATACGATATGTGTAGAGAATGAAAAAGTCAGTTTTTTCAAAAATGCTTCAAGCGTACACGATCAAAAATAAAAGAGTTATTTGGAAAATACTGAGACCGCCATTTATTCTGCCGCGTCTGTTAGTTCAAGACTTGCAGTTGTAATTATATTCAATTTAGAATAAAACAGCGTAGTTGTTTCCGAAATTTGAAGAGAAGAACATTTTTCATGTTAAACTTTTGGTCTTTTTCAGACTCAAGATTTGGTAGAAAAATAAAGCTTCGAAACTTAAGTAAAAGCTACTCTCTTTGGCTCAGTTTTTCGTGCAAATCATGAGTATTAACTTTTATATGTCAGCTTCTTCGTACTTAAAAGTAAAAACACAATTTCTTTCTCAAATCCAAGTGGCATATGTATAACGACATGATACATGTATACATCACTGTCGTTGACTACGCAATATGTAAACAGATATGGAGCACATTTATGACTATGTGTTTTGACAAAAAGACGACTAGGCATTAGATGCGTAATCAAAATAAGACCCCATATAAAATATTTTCTTGCGTGATCAAAATAGGACTCTCTGCAAAAGATGCAAATTAATTATTTCATGCCCTGTACAACTAAAGATTCATTTTCCAAGAAAACCGACTTACCCGTATTACTATCCAGCACTTTTCACGTTTAATTTAACTTTCACAGATTCATACTTTTACAGATACATCTGCTCGTCAAAAGTAAATATCATCACGTTTATAAAGAATGATTTTTCTTCCTCTTCAAACAAAAGCACTCCAAAACATTTCAGTCTAAAATTCAGCAAATTCTTACAAATTTCAATTTCTCTTGGAACAAAAATTTCCACTTTCAATTAAGGATTTCACAAATTTCACTCTTCCTTTCAATAAAAACAATCAAAATAAAAACATTTTTCTCTCCTCTCTTATTTTCCGTCTGCATGAACCAAATTCTATATTAACACCCGCTTTTTCGACTATGAACCATCCTTCTTTCAAACGAGCATTTACTGAACAAGAATTCGAAACGTGTATAAATTCTCGTGTATACACTCTTCATTTTTTTGTATTCAACATTCATCGTATTTTAAAAAACATATATTTTTCTATTAAGAAAAAACAAAATATCATCAAAAAACAGCTTTATTATTTAACCAAGCATTTAGTCACACAACGTCCGTATCATTTCCATTCTGTTTCCACCCTTTGAGCTTTACGTCATCTACCGTACTTCTCTTAGTATACAAACAGAAAAAAAACGATTCTCACAAATTCGATAAGTCTTTTCTTCTCTTGTGTGTCTTTTTCAACTCTAATTTCTACTTCGATTTACCATTATTTGTTGATTTATCAAGACTTCGATCCTTCTTCACGAGAACTACATCTTTTGTCATCAAGAACTTCATGTTTCTTCACAAGAACTTCATCTATCTTTCTACAACCTTTTGATGTTTCTTCACGAGCAGTCTTCTTTCGGTCCTGCAGATGTTGACGTTTCTTCACTAGAACTACATATTTTCCCGTCAACAACTCTGTGTTACTTCACCAGCACTCTTCTGTCTTTCCTCCAAAACTTGATGTTTCATCACAAGAATGTCATGTGTTGTCGGCAACAACTTCGTGTTTCTTCACAAGAGCGTCATCTATCTTTCCTAAACATATTAGTGTTTCTTCACAAGAAGTTCGTGCTGAACATTTTGATGTTTCGTCACAAGAAATTCATCTTTTGTCGTCCGGAACTTGGTGTTTCTTCACAAGAACTAAATCTTTCGCCGTCAAGAACGTCGTATTCTTTCACAAGCACGTCGTCTATCTTTTCTAAAATCTGGATATGTTCAGAAAAGAACTTAATGGGCTTCGGTGCGAGTCTCGATGTTTCTACACTAGAACTTCATCTTTCTTTGTTAAGATTTTGATGTTTCTTCACAGGAACGTCATCTTTAGCCTCAAGAACTTCAGGGTATTTGTAAACTACGCCATCACCCACCAACACCCCCAAACTACCCGAGACCATTCTAGATCGATAGAGCGCGTCAGGTAACCCTACACCAACACCCACTTGGATCTACACCTGAGGTACCCTGAACGAAATACTTCCACCAACACCCAGATGGACGCGTATTTGCATCTGCTGATC